TCAAATACTGGGTAATAATATTACTATAACAATGGAATGTCTCCTTAATATAGAAATTTTACTTGATGGTTTTAACTGTAATATACCCATATCAAAGAACCAATATCAAATGCATACACACAGAGGCACAGACATATACATATAGAAATTCTAGAAATGTAGAACTCAAAAGTTCCTTAAAGGGAGAACAAATATAAAATACAACAAGATAATGAATAATGCCAATAAACCAAGAAATAAAATACACAAAGGTGTCCATAAACTAAATGGAAAAAAATAGCGGAATTGTAAGATTCTTAAAAAAAACAATGAAAAAAACATATATAAAACAAAAATAAAATCAACAAACAAATAAATAAAGCACATGAATAAACTAAACAGTGCTGCTACACAAAACAAAACAACCTAACAGGAGAGTCAGTGCTGCTTAGCTTCTCTCATCTTAATCAAGTGGATACAACATGCCTACCTTAATTAGAGACCCCTTTTTAATATCAGTGAGGTCGACAGACAAGATAAACAAACTGCCTAATAATTCCTTGTCTCATATCACAAAATATCTAATCTAACTTGCTAGTACTCCCTCAAGCGGAATTAGTTAACGGGCTGATCAAGTACGAACCCGAGACCTTATAGTTGCAAAGCCCGTACTCTACTACTAAGCCATGCCCTAAATACCATCAAAGTCATTCTGCTTCCTTAAACTGGCCGTAAAATATGTGCTTGAACTTTGTTTAAATTCTGAACCATTTTCATCCTACCTACACAACACAATACATACCACTTTGTGCTTGGATGCAAAACAAGCCAAACACATTCTGCAAGATCTATATATCCAGGGTATCCAGCAAATTAATTGCCAGTGCAGTACTGTTCTACAGCATGATAAATAATGAAAACCTGTTACAACTGATATTCATTGAAGAAGAAATGTAGTGATAATGAAACTGTCATGGAAAAAATGTTCTTTTTTCTTTTCTTTTTTTCTCTCAGTGTAATGTGATTTGGATAACTGTTGGCTTTTGTTCCTTCATCATTTTCTTCCTTGTCACTCATGGATAAATTGAAACAAATATAATAACTGGCAAAAGACTTATAAAATAAAACATTAATGTGTAGTTTGTACTTAAGGCACCATTACTTACTTCCATTTCTGGGCCATTTTCTGTTAGTGAGAAGAGAGAGTATGCCTCTCATGCAGGCCATCTTAATGTGTTCAGGTCTCAATCAAATCTCTAAGTCTGTGTTTACTTGGATTCTTGTTAAACTTTAGCATTGCTTTTAATTAGTAAGCCCATAAACATTTTTAAAAATCTGAAGCACATTAGAAATTCATCTAAATATGCTAAAACATCTGAAAATATGATCTAACATAAGGAATATTTCATAGTTTTTAAAGACAATATCTATTTATAATCAAGATTATACATTTTGAAGATTACAGATAATTTGGTTAATAGAGGGTTTACCGTACTGTGAAAATTTTCTGGTACTTATTTTCTCCAAATGCCAGCAGCTTTGGTTAAATGGGCATATAACAGAATAATCAATACTTCATAATATCCAGTATTTATTGGCTATAAGGGTATATATGAGAATATTCAAATGCTTTGAGAATGTCCAGTCCAAATTAAAAAATCCAACAGTATATAAAAATTGGGTGTGGCCTCATTGATCGTCAGCTCTTCTACATGAGCCATCAAACTGCTACAAAAAATGGTAATATATGGGCTTGTAGACCTTGTCGGGAATTCACCACCAAATAAGCAACCAGTTAAAGCTCTATTTTGCCGGAATAGATCTAGTGGATAGATGACAGCAGACACTAGCCCCTGACATGCAGAATACTGTCATGATGAATTTCAACATGGGGGCCTTCCACCACAAATCATAGCAAATTCCAAGTAGACTGGAAAGAGCACAACCAATAAAATCATAAGAAAACGTCCGGGTTTAATAACTTCAGGTATTTTCTACACCACTTGACAGAACAGAGCTTGTAAACCTCCAGAATACACAGAGTAAGGACTCGTTGTCGGTGTTTTCCCTGAGCGCGAAGGACGTGACATTCCTATTACATTGAGCTTAGAACTGCTAGCAATCCATCACGTGAAGATTCAAAGAGAATTCAAACAGAACTCACCCGGAATAACTACCAGGAAAACAATACCCCTTACACATATCCTTCTCAAACCCCTAACTCTACCACAAACCAAACCAAAAAATACACCAACGCCCAGAAATAAAAGCACGAAAATACCAAAACACACCTGCCGACCAGCCACCCCTCCCAGCGCCCACGACATCCCCACGTATCACAGCCCTCTTCCTCCTCCTCCTCTCCACTTACATCTGTTTCTGGGCTCGTATGATGGCCTCCACATCTTGCTGGTTGATCTGGCCTGCAAGACCCTGCACAAAGACCTCCGGAGCCGTGTAATTCTGGAAACACTCGATGCTCCCGAGGTCGCTGTCAGGGGAAGACGCCGCCATCATGTAAACAAAACACAGCTGATCGATCTCGTCCCGCGGTCGCTGCCGAGCCTGCTTTGGGCCCGGCGCCGCTGGGACGGAGGGGACCACACATTGTTATGAGTGGGATAATGAGGACAACAATAATGAGGTTAATAGTAATGATAATAATAATAATAATAATAATAATAATAATAATGATAATAATAGTAATAATAATAATGATAATAATAAGCATTATTATCATTATTATCATGAAATTATTATTGTTGTTATTTTCTTTAAAATACTTATTATTATCATTGTTATCATTATTATTGTTATTATTATTATTATTATTATTATTATTATTATTATTATTATTATTAACATTATTATTGCTATTATTATTATTATTATTATCATTATTATTATTATCATTAATTATTATTACTATTATTATTATTATTACTATTTATTATTATTATTATTATCATTATCATTATTATTATTGTTATTATTATTATTATTATTATTATTATTATTATTATTATTATTATTATTATTGTTATTATTATTATTTTTATTATTATTATCATTATTATTATTATTATTGTTATTTTCTTTAAAATACTTATTGTTATCATTGTTATTATTATTATTGTTATTATTATTATTATCATTATTATTATTATCATTAATTATCATTACTATTATTATTATTATTACTATTTATTATTATTATTATTATCATTATCATTATTATTATTGTTATTATTATTATTATTATTATTGTTATCATTATTATTATTATTATCATTATTATTATTATCATTATCATTATCATCATCATTATTATTATTATTATCATTGTTGTTACTGTTGTTATTATCATTATTATTATTGTTAGTACTAGCATCCCCATTATTATTGTTATTATTATCATCATTATTATCATTATCATTGTTGTTATTGTTGTTGTTGTTATTATCATTATTATTATTATTGTTAGTACTATTATTCCCATTATTATTACTATTATTAGGTATTATTATTGTTATTATTTTTATCATTATCATTATTATTGTTACTATTATTCAATTTATTCTCATTATCTTCATCATTATTTTTATCATCATCATCATTATTATCATTATTATCATTATCATTACCATTATCATTATTATTATTATTATTATTATCATTATCATTGTTACTATGATTATTACCATTATCATTATCATTATTATCATCATTATTATCCTTATCATTGTTACTATCATTATTACCATTATCATTATTATTATCATTATTGTCATTATTATTGTTATTACTAGTAGTAGTAGTAGTAGTAGTATCATCATTATTATTATCATCATAACTATTAGCATTGTTATTATTATCATTATTATTGTTGGTTTTATTACTACTTTTGCTATTATTGTTGCAATTATAATTATCATTATTATTATTATCTTTACTAAAATTGTCATTAGCATTATCAACATAATAACAAAAGTAGTAATGATAATCACAAAAAAAGGAGAAAAATGAATGACCCTTTTTCTCTTGAATGGACTTTTGAGTAAAGGATTAAATGATAAAAAAAAAACGTTTAAGAGTAAGACTGTAAATAATATGGTTTCATTCTGCGCCAGGGTACGAGCGAGGCCCTTATAAAAAAAGGTGAAAAAAGGGAGAGAATCCTGTTTAGCTTTCTTTCGTAAATCACAAGAACCGACTGTGTGCTGAGGAGAACGCTTGTCGGGGGCGAGGGAGCCGCGTGACGTCGAGGAGCATAAATATCTGTGGAAGAAGTACCGTGTTGTCTCAAGGGCTGTTGCGGCGACTGATCTATGTGTTGGAAGAAGTTGCTGCATCACTAGGTTAATTGGGTTAGGTACTTCGATTGAGGTCATTTTCTAACTGCGTTTCATGGGGTGTGAATGGAGCTTATGCAGGCATACGAGTGTCGGGCGGACTGTATGCGCGCACATGCAATCGCGCGCTCGCATATGCATACGAACGCACGCACACAGACACACACACACACAAAACACACACACACACACACACACACACACACACACACACACACACACACACACACACACACACACACACACACACACACACACACACACACACACACACACACACACACACACACACACTTACACAATCACGTTCGTATGTATAGTCATTACTATTGTGGCATTAATTTGTCCTTCGTATACACATTTTGATTGGCGTAATGTTTATTCAATTACTTAATATTCTGAATCAAAGGAGAAACCGGGAAACCTCTATATCAGGTAATTAACAGCAATACAGTAATCACCCACATTACAAAAACTAATCGTATGTCCTCTCTCTCTCTTCCCCGAATTTCGTATCCTCGTGCTTTCTCCCTTTGATTTCCGCGGAATAGAAGCCATACCAACAACGAATCGTAAAAGAACCGACATTATAGACAGGAACAAACCTATTTCCTCAAAGCTCTGATCTTTCTCGAATTCCAGCGATCGGCCGCCATTAATCTCTGGGCATGTCCCGCTTCATCTGTTTTCGGCGCCATTGGGGGTGCGTAGGTGTGTTTTATTCATTATTTACGTAACGATTAATCCTGGCAACAAGCACATGCTCCCTGGAGAGTGCAATTGTCCGTTGGTGGAGGACATATGTTAATGGCATGGCAAGAGGTGACGACATTCTTGGAAATAAAATAGCTCTGTGTGTTGCAGATTGCAGACATCATCGTCGTGAAGGTTTTGACATTTTCAGAACGAAATTCGTTTGTTTATCTGATTTTAACTTAGACTAAATCCATTTATGTATTTAATGATATTATTGTTATTCTTATTCTTATCATCATCATCATTATTAGTATTATCATTATTATTATTATTATTATTATTATTATTATCATTATTATTACTATTATTATTATTATTATTATTATTATTATTATTATTATTATTATTATCATTATCATTATTATTATCATGATTATTACTATTATCATCATCATTGCTATTCGTCTTCTCCTTCTTCTTCTTATTATTATTATGATTATTACTATTATTATCATTATTATTATCATCATTATCATTGCTATTATTCTTATTCTTGTTCTCATTATTATTACTATTATTATTATCAATACCTTCTTCTGCAATGGGATATTTTTGTGTATGCTGTAGCACAGAGGCCACAGATAATTTCCACGGATGTTATTTATCTATCTACTTATCTATTTATCTATCTATTCATTTGTTGGTCGTTGCGCGTTTTCACTCGTGTATGTGTGTTTGTGTGTGTTCGCCGAGTGGCCAATCGTCGTAAAGATTGCAAGACCGTAAAATTTATTATTTTTTCTATTTATTTTTCTATCTCTCTATGGTTTGTCTGTCTGACGATTTACATATTATACGTTAGAATATTAAAATTCCGTTATTGCTAAATCATAGTATCGCACACACACACATTCATGTATGTATGTATATGCATGTATACATATGCGTGTGTGTATTTGTGTCTCTGTTTGAGGTGTCTTTGTGTGCACCATTCATGACACAGTCCTTATTTTAACGAAAGTGTAAATGGTATTTTTTGTGTCCTTTTTAGTTTTTTTTAAGCAAATTTGATAAATATATAAACAATGTGCTTGATTTCTGCATTTCATTTTGCTTTTATTATAATTGTATATAGTAATTGCCGAAACTCATTCATATTTCAATTTATGTTCTCAACTAAAATTTGTGCAGGTTTGAATGTTGTTACTCATAACCTTATTACTGGAATTATACTATTTCGTGTAAATGTGCCATTGTGCCTTGTCAAATGAATGTCTTACTAACTCTTTATATAAAATTTATTATATAGAATTTATTACATATATGTATTAGCATACATATATGTACACAACACACGCATATGTATGAGTGTTTGTGTATATTATTATATATTTGGTAGGTCAAACACTTCTGACATTAGTAACTTTAGTTTCATTATAAAATACCCGTTTTATTTTGCATTTGGTACGTTATCAACTGTTCTAATTTTCTTCATATGCTTCAATTTCTCATTCAATTCTCTCAGTAACATTTTTATCTTATTTATTTTATTTTATCTTTTTTTATCTCAAAAAGATATATCCATTTCCTACAAATAAATTCCAAAATATAGATCATAAAGGATAAGACAAAAACCACAGACATATTTTTCTAAATATATTGTTTTATAAATATTTACAGATTTTACATTCTCAACCTGAGTAGTGATAATAAAATAGGGAAACAGCAGATTATACTGTTCATACTTGACTACAATCTCCTTCTCTCGGTGCATCCACGAAAACACAGATGTATCTAGGCTCTTGTAGGTCTCCCTCATTGAACTCGCTTCTTCGTCTATTACTTAATTATCATCTTCCTTTCACTCTCTCTTACTTTCTTCACTCTTTTTTTCTGATTGATCAATGAATTATCCTTACTTCCTTTTTTTTTCTCTCTCCCTCTCTGTCTCTTACTTTCTTTTCTATTCCTTTCTAATTGATCAGTTTATTGTCACTATTTCCTTTCTCTCTCTCTCCATCATCGTGATCTTGATGTCAACCACATCAAGATCAAAGTCTCCGATTATGTTTTTCTTCTCCTTCTTTCTTACATTTCTCTTCTCTCTCGAAATCCCTCTTCTCCTTTCTAACATCCTCTTCTTCTCTCCTCTCGCAATTCCTTTTTTATTTTCTCTGTCTTTCTTCTTCCGATTCCTGAAGCCCCACGAGAGTCTAAAGTCCATCAGGGTAAAAGGGACACAACCTCTGTTTCCTCGAGTGTTTGGCAGCTTATGAACAAAGTTTGGGGTCTGATGCATGGTTTAGGTTCATTATTTTTTTATTTTTAGGGCCTGATCAAGTAAGGTGAAAACTATACAGTGTGGGATATATATAATTTTTTTTTTTCATTTTTTTTTTCTTTTTTTTACATAAAAAAAAAAAAAAAAAAAAATCTTCAAGCCACGAATTTCAAGGGATCAGCTTATATATTT